AGATATTATTGCCAAAAACACAGTTTCCCAAAACAATAATTTTTCAAAAAACAGTTTCCTCCTTTTGTTGAAAATAATGAAAAAATAAATAACCCATCCCTTGCTTATTAATATACTGTATAATGAAGGTGAACAGCAGGATTTTATCGAAAGATTGCTTTGTTTGACTTTCAAACAATGATTCTTTTCTTCATATGTTATGATCATTCAAATACAAAATTTGAGAGGGACACCCTCGCTTATTGCATGCCTCTCTTTCTTCTGTAAGGTGGTAAAGTTTGAATGGCTCTTACCTTATCTCTCCCATCCATCTCTTGTTGCTGGTGTCTTTTAAACATGGTTGTAATGGTTCTCTTCTGTATCCTTTTTGTTTAAAGTTAATCAGTGAAGCTATTTAACCAAAAACAAATAAATTAAACCAGGCCCGCTTTATAGATGAAAAACGATGAATCAATAAGCAAATCCGGCGATTCACCGGTAGTTACTACAAAGGTGGCAGATTATAAATTGCAAGCCCTGCAACAAAATAAATCGTGATTGGTTAACCATTTGGCAATATTTTATGTTGAAGCTAAACAAGCTATTAAAAAGCAAAAAAGCAAAAAAAAAAAAAACGCAAATCGAAGACGCATGGTTAAATTTTATACAGATTACAAGAACTGGATTTGGCAATTGGGGGAACGTTTTGGGAGAGCAAGAAGGTCGTTGGTCAGTTGCTTGTAATAATCTATCTTCTTATCATCAACTTGCACTTTCATTGTTTGAAGAAACTTAGCTCCCTCAAGAAAAGTTTCACGTATATCAATTCTCTACCAGTTCCTTTATACCCACAAATCTCCAACACCTTCACTACACTTCCATCAATGCTAACCTGGCAACTTCTTCTTATAGAATGAAAGCCCTGAAGCGAATATAGAGAAAGCATAACGTAATGTGAAATTCTCAGATAATAAACTTATAATTGATCAGAGAGATCATGTATGTATATATGACGTACCTTGAGAATCAAGGTTTCTAGCTTTGGAGAGTTTTTGATCAGACTCCAAAGAACTCTCCAGCTCTTTTTGGTTTTACTTTCGAAAGATAGATTAAGGAGGTTTTCAAACAAGGGAAATCCACCATTGCTACGCCAATGATCAAAGCATCGAAGCATCAGCTGCATAAAGAAGTGGTCATGAATGAAACACAAATTAAGTGGTCAGTGGTCATGAATGAAACAAGATACACAAAGAAGAGAGAGGCATATATACCTCAACAGTGTTAGAAGAGAGGTGAAGGATTTGAACATTGCATATCCAAGAAATGAATTTCGAGTGATTTTGAGGTTGAAACGACGAAAACGGTGGCAAAACAAGATCAAGGCGGGCTTCAAGAAGGGAATCGAGGAAATTGGCGGAATAATAGTCACACAAATCAACTCTATCAGAGTAGTCGAGGTAGACAAGATTTGGTGTGTTAAATGCCAAACGGCGTATCAGGTTACAACGTTCCACTCGGTGAATTGTGATTCTCTTGATGGTTGGGTGACAGATGTCGATTTCTGAGGGATGAAAGTATTTTTGATGTATGTATAATTCCTAAAGCACAGGGCAGCCACGTACAACAAAATCAGAGAAATCTCGATCTATAAACCAAACCGTATAGAGGAAGAGACTCTTCAGCACCGGATGACAAACTTCCAGTATAGGAACATGTCCAATATAATAAAGCTTTGTTCCTAATGTAAGCTTGATTTTTTTTTTTTTTTTACTTGAATTTGGCCCTTGAATCAGTAGGGCTCTGATACCATGTTAATCGTTTGATAAACAGAGTATGTAAAGAAACAGAGACTTTATTGAATATCAAACTTGTGTTTTTACATCACGACATCGTTATACTTATAAACTAAAACAACAGACACTAAGTGAAGAGATGCAACTCTTCTATTTGGACATAACTGACACACTAACAAGACACGACTCTTGACACATAGACACACACGTCCTTTGACTCTAACTGTATAACTGTTTGTATAATTAACATAACTAAACTCAATTATACGACCAACACAAAGGGCAGATGGTAATGCGCAGATCAAGATCCGAGATGCCTCGTTCTTCAAACCTTCTGTTGCTAAGTGCTTTAGTAAGCAGATCCGCAAGTTGAATTTCACCCTCGCAATACTTGAGCTTTATAAGAGTTATTGCAGCAACCACCGTCTTGTTGTTGTTGTAGAGACAGTGTTTTATCAACGAAAGCCCTCAAACTCTCCCGAGCAAGGTCCCTCTTCTGTTTTGTTCTTTCGGGATAAAGCAAATCTGTCTCGTCGAATCGGAGATGGTGTTGAGATGCAAAGAAGCGAATCATCAGTGTGAACAGATTCTTCCATCTTTTGGAGAGGATTTATGTGGAAATAGCTTGTTTCGTGGGAAGAAAGGACACGATATGTGCAAGAATCTCATCTGGGAGGGAGCTAATTTCATCTCTTGATCGAGATTTCACCTTTTCCATGATTTACCAAGATGGATTCAAATAGGAATTCAACGTGAAAAACAAAAACAAATTAGGGCTTCTTAACCTATACACTATAAATATATATATATATATATATATATTCCTTTTTTTATCGTGAATTAGTAAAAAAAAAAAAAAAAAAACATAAACTATAGGAAGCTGCGTCATGGCGACAAAAACACGAAGATTTTTTATGGGAGTGTTAAAGCTCGACGGATGAGGAACCAGATCATTTCCCTTAAAGATGGAACAGGTGTGGAACGTTTTTCGGAGGAGGAAAAAGAGAATATTGCGATACAATATTTCCAAGACCTATTTCGTTCTACAAGACAAGGGAATTCTCAGGAGCTGCTAGAGGGCTTTATCGCAAAGGTCACTCCTGCAATGAATCAAGATCTGGTTAGGACAGTATCTGCATCAGAAATCAAACGAGCAGTTAAGAGCATCAGAGGAGAAAGTGCGCCTGGTTCAGATGGCATGACGGGGAGCTTTTTTCAAAGCTTTTGGAACATTACCGGAGAGCAAGTCATAATAGAGGTTAAGAAGTTTTTTGAGAGTGGAAGCTTACCGGAGGATTGGAATTTCACCCAAATCTGTCTTCTCCCTAAAAAACCATCTCCAACCGGAATGACGGACTTGAGGCCAATTAGCTTGTGCTCTGTAACATATAAGATTGTGTCAAAAATCTTATGTAACAGACTCAAGAAATTCCTCCCACAGTTGGTTTCCCCGACACAAGGGGCTTTCGTCGCTGGACGACTGATTTCGGATAACTTGCTGCTTGCTCACGAGATGATACATGGACTTCGCACAAACCCAGGTTGCAGAGGAGAGTATATTGCCATAAAGATCGATATGTCAAAGGCGTACGATCGGGTCGAATGGGACTTTCTGGAGGAACTTTTTGGCCGTATGGGGTTTGATGATAAGTGGATCAGATGGATTATGAGCTGTATCCGGTCTGTGTCCTACACAGTTTTGCTTAATGGACAAGCGCATGGACACTTTTATCCTGAATGAGGAATTAGGCAAGGTGATCCATTATCTCCTTTCCTATTCATATTATGTGCAGAAGCTCTTGTCCATGTGATGAATAAGGCAGAAAGGGATGGAAAGATCTCGGGGATGAAGTTATCCAAACACTGCCCTGCAATACAGCATTTATTGTTCGCCGATGATAGTCTCTTCCTCTGCAAAGCGACTTTATCGGAATGCTCGTAATTTCTCAAATGTCTGCGCCTGTATGAGGATGCTTCGGGGCAAGTAATCAATTTCGCTAAATCAGCGATCACTTATGGCTCCGATGTAGATTTGATTACACGACGCCTGATCGCTGCACGTCTAGGTATTGATCAAATCGGGGGGAAGGAACTTATCTCGGACTTCCGGAGTGTCTGAGTGGCTCTAAACGGAAACTCTTAGCCTTCATCAATGAGAAACTTAGTAAACGCCTTAGTGGATGGTATGCGAAAACTCTATCATTGGGTGGTAAGGAAATCCTCATTAAATCCATTGCGATGGCGTTACCAGTTTATGCAATGTCATGTTTCCGTCTTACCAAAGATCAATGCCGCAAACTTACAACTGCAATAACGGATTTCTGGTGGAATGCTTGTGAGAAGAAAAGGAAGATCCATTGGGTGGCTTGGAAAGATATGTGCAAAGCTAAATCGATGGGAGGCTTAGGGTTCAGAGATATTGAGGAGTTCAATCAATGCCTGTTGGCGAAGCAAGCTTGGCGTATCTTAAATGAACCGAATTCTCTCCTTGCCAAAGTCTATAAAGGGCGGTGGGCGGTATTTCAGTAATACAGGTTTTCTGGATTGTGGAAAGGGTTATCGGCCATCTTATGCTTGGTGCAGCATATTACATGGAAGAGAACTACTGGCTCGAGGACTAATCAAATCAATTGGAAATGGCGCAAGTACCAGAGTGTGGCTCGATAAATGGGTAATGGACAACGATCCTCGAAGACCGGTTAACAAAGAATTGTTTTACGACCTGAATCTCAAGGTATCTGATCTGATCGCGAACTCTGGTAGATGGAATACGACTCAGTTACAGGCACTTTTCCCTCCAGCGGACATTGTGAGAATTTTGGCTCTGCCCCTGGGAAACACAGAAGATAAATTCGTTTGGGCGTATACGAAACACGGATCTTATACGGTCCGCAGTGGAGCGCAGTTTGTAGCTTCCCACCGTCACATCCCCGCTGGTGTACCATCTTTTCAGGATGCGGACAACATTAATGTCAAGAATCGTATCTGGAAGATTCATACGACACCAAAGATTAAGGTTTTTCTCTGGCGAGCCTTATCAGGGGCACTAGCGGTTGCACAAGGTCTGAAAAAAGGGGCTGTGCAGCTGATGATACCTGCAGAATTTGTCAGCACGGCGTTGAATCCATCAGTCATGTACTATTCCATTGTGAGGCCGCGAAACAGGTTTTAGATACAGCTGGAATTCCGGCACCGCCTCAAGGGTTTGTGGATTCTGTTACGGAAAATATGGAACACATCCTTAATTTGATGGAAGACCAGTCTTTGAACGTGTTTCTACGACAGTCTATTCCGTGGCTGCAATGGAACATATGGAAGAACCGGAATGCAACTCTTTTCTCACGGAGTGTTGAAGCTGCTTTCGTTGTTTGTCAACGCTCGTCAGAAGAAGCCATACTCTGGCATTCAGTTAACAACCCTAATCACGGAAAGGATGGCAATACAGCTAGAAACAGCAACGCGACCGACAGATGGCACCCTCCTCTGACTGGTCTCATCAAATGCAATATTAATGCAAACTGGCGTAACTCTCTCTTACACAGTGGAGGGGCATGGATCGCAAGGAACCACACAGGAAGTGTTCTCTTTCATGCTCGGGAAGCGTTTACCCCTTCTCCTAATCGACTCATTGCCGAGTTTAGGGTCATAATTTGGGCTCTTCAGAGCGCAAAGGATCTTCATTTCACGGACATCATCATAGCATCGGATCTGATAGGAGCTGTGGAGGCTATCCAAAAACCATCAGTGTGGCCAAAGTTCAGAGTTTATAGCGACCACATCAATGTTCTCAAATCTCAATTCAACCGATGTGAGTTTGAAATAGAGGCGCCGGTATCGAACTCAGTAACTCGAGCAATCGCCAAGAGTGTTACAAAAGATGGCCGATATCACTCCTACCTCGCCATGGGAGGACCCTCGTGGTTACAGGACCAGCTGAATCAGGAGGCTCGTTATAACGTCTAGCAATCCTTCCATTTAGGATTTGATGTTTGATTTCCGAGTCGCATTGTAACCTTTATTTTTGCAATCTCTATCAATTAATAAAGGATTTCTTGACGGCAAAAAAAAAAAAACTATAGGATTTCCTTTTTTAAGTAAAACATAAACTAGGGTTTCTTAACTAAGACTTTCTTTTTTTTTGTGGTCGATTCGTCGTCTCTGGCTCTTTTATCTTAAGATGAGAAAAGAAAAACCAAAGTCACGTTACCAACTGCAAGTCTGCAACACAGCTACAAGTCTACAATCATGCATGAAAAAAATAAACGAATAATAGATTATGAGAGAAGCAGAGATTCATGAAGCATCTTCGATCAACACAAGGCGTTGTTGAATCAAAATCAGGACAATATGAGACAAAGAATCTCCCCAGAAAACATGAACGATTTCTCTGTCTCTTCCAAACAATGATTCATCTGTTCTCTTGTCCACCACTGCCGCATTCAAATACAAAACCCACATTATTATTAGAATTACAAGGGAAATTCACAAACATTTTTAAGTTTCTTTCTTCACAGTAATAAAAATATGTTCAATACCTCAACGACTTTGTTCAGTTCTTATTTCATGTTCTGCAAGAATTGGAAAAGTTGGCCGACCCATTTGTAGAACAAGTGAGTTTTTTTAGTACAGAATTTTTTTTTTCTTTCTTTTTCACCTTTCTTCCAATCATTTGTCCACCGGCGCTGTGTGTAAAGTATATTTTGTAGAAGTGACAGATCACATTGAATGGGATGCTTGAGGATCATTCTCTGCTAGAACCTTTAAATACTCTGAAAGTCTGAATATGTTTTACCAGAAGACATTGGCTCTGGAATTTCATAACCTTGTTCCTTAAACCCCTCCAAATCCTTCCCTAACTTCTCTGCTCTTTTCAATCCCGTGTTCTTGAAACCGGCGTCTACACACACATACACAAAAAACAGAGATGTTTTACAACGTTACACTATAATCTATAAAGAGGACATACAAAAAACACATGCAACAACGTCTACGACGAATGAATGACATTGAGTGTCTCTGAAACTAATCCTCACGCTAAGCTCTCCCTTTCAAAATATATTTCTATTGTTAATCTCTAAACTCTATGAGATAAAGATGCATTCAGTGTAAAACTGTTCTTTATTTCTTTATCTTCCATAATTTATTTGTTAATTTTGGATCAGTGGGTTGACTGATACTGCTGTCTTGTTGCTTGTTTGAACGAATGCTGTATAAAACCTCTGGTTTGGGTTATCTCATGTTCTATGATCAGAGGATTTTATTCACATATATACAATTTAATGTAATATGGTCCATTTTTTTTTTTTTTGGGTGTTTTCTAAAGATATGTAAAGTTCCAGATTGATGTGGATGGATATTAGACTTTTAACCTTGGTGCATGATGTTTTTGCGTTTTGTCTTTGCTAGCATTTCTGCTACATGTTCTCGGTCATTCAGACATGTACGTTGGTAGTTTTTTATTTACAAGTGTATAAGCAAGATCAGCAACTAGAAAATTAGGTGGGAACCGCGCAATTTTCAGATTTTTGCCTTTGTCTCTACCTCTCTATAAAATTTGAAGAAAAAAAATTAGAAAAAAAATATGTTGTATTACTCTAAAAAAATCTGCATAAACGTGTTTCTCTATTTATTCTATGTCACTATCTTTGCTGAATTTCCGTCTGTCTCTATCCCTCTCTTATGATCCTCTCTTGAAGGCAGATGAGATCCTAGGAAACTAGAATGTTATGCCGTTCACACACTTTAGTACCATTTTCACTCCACCACTTCTCTGCTTGTTCTTCACTAAACTGTTTCCGGCTACACAAGAAATGAACAAGTCACGTAAAATGATATGTCATGTTGTGTTGTTTAATAAGGGGAGACTAGAATAGCATTTTCAGAAAACGAAGATGCATTCATGTACCTGAACCGGACACGCTTGAGTTCATTACCACCACCAGGTAAAGACAACAATGTTAAATACACTCCTGGTTCGTCCTGCACAACCCTCTCCGGCTTCATTTTCTGCCTTTTATGCCCATTAGCTAAGCTCTTACTTGTTAGGTTGCTTTCCGGTTGACTATCATGAGAAACCATGCTTCTTATATGTGTCTGGTTATTTGTCTGAGTTTGACTCTCTGATGTCTCTTTGTCTTTGTGTTTTGAGTTGGTGCTAATGTCATCTTTTTGTGATATTTTTTCAGCCATTTCCTTCAGCTGTGAAACAATTGTTAACATTATGAGAGACAGATAATTCAGTGAGACAAATGTATTTGAGTAATGGAAAATGTCAAACCTGAGTGGTCAGAGATCTAATAACCTCTTTTGCAGATTTGTTTTCCTCTGCTTCATCTGCTGCCATTGCAGTGACCACTTTTAACTGCCTTCGAGTCTTTTCGAGTTCCTCTTCAAGTTGGTGAGTTTTTGAAACGAGTTGTTCAACCTACAATGTTTAATGCATAAAAACTTTATTTTAGCCTAAAAGCATTTGTTTATATATGATATACAAGTATATATAAGACATGGTTAGAAAGTATTACATGTTCCTTTAGACCCGCCATTTCTTGACTATAATCGTCGTTTATTTGTTTAGATTCCTCAGCTGTTACTTCATAAGATCGGCGTGGACTAGTTGACTTTACTGAAACTGGAGACGCTATGTGAGAGTTCACTCGTGAACCAGGAATTTTAACCACCATACTCTTGGGGAGTTTTGGCAACCCTATTAATCCTTTGGATAATGGCGATCCAACAGACTTTAAACTGTCATTCATGAAAGGAAAGACATTACTATTATTTACTTCCGGTTTCAAGTCTCGTCTATGGTTTCTTCCTTCACCATGATGCAATAAAGAATCAGCTGAAGATATTCTGGAGTGTGCTGAGAGGAATTTTTGAGTGAAGCTGCTTCTATCTGAAACATCAGTCGATTTCCGCATATTCAAAAGGTTTCTTGCTCGTGGAGTTGGTGGAGAAGGAGATAGCTCTCTTGACTTTTTCAGCTTTGTAAAACATCCATAACACACTCGATATGCTTTGTTCATATCAGGCGCCAAAGCAGCTCTCAAAGACTTCCTACTACTGCATACTTTACAAAATATCAGACCACAATTGTAACAATTATGACGTTTTCTTCTAAAGTTGAAGGGATTACGGCAACCAGCACATAGTGAATGTTCAGAGCCAGGTATCCATTTGTGAAGACAAATCACAGCAGTAAAATTAGATCCACATGTTATAGTTTTCACTTGCTTTTCTTTCATAAACCCAACAACCGTAGGTTCCATTTTGTTCTCAATGTTTCCATGGCCTAGCTGGCCATTTAACCCTTTTCCCCATGTGTAAATCTCTGATTTAGATGTCAACACTGCAACATGATAAGAACCACATGCAATCTCCTCCACAAAAGTCCCTACTAAGTCTCCTTCAACACGTGCAGGGAACTGTCCCTTTGCAGTAGGATTTCCAAGCTGGCCATAAACCATGCTACCCATTGTATACACATGCCCTTTAGATGTAAGAGAAACCGTGAGACTATGTCCACATGCAACTTGGCATATATTTTCGTTCTTCAATGAAGTAACACACTCAGGAAGTAGTTTTGCATCATCACCACCATGACCAAGCTGTCCATTATCTCCATCCCCCCATGTGAACAGTTGCCCACACGAAGAGCAAAGTTCTGCATCAGATGCTTCATTTGCCACTTCCACCACTGCAGCTGTATGCCAAACGCCACACGCAACCTTCATTACTCTAAGTCCACTTAGGTTTTCAACTTCACGTGGAACACTAGAGCTTTCCCTGTCTCCATGACCAAGAGCACCAAAAGATCCATCTCCAAATGTGAACAACTGACCTGATGATGCAAGTACCGATGTATGCCAAAGACCACAAGCGACATATGATACATGCACTCCCTGTAAGACACCAGTCACTCTCTTGGGAATCCAGCAGCATGATTCACTACCGTGACCAAGAAAACTTGTGCCATCACCCCAACTGTAAAGATCACCTGATTGAGTAACAGCACATGTATGGAACTCCCCACACGCTAAAGATTTGAAACCTATTCCTCTAACACTACTAATGAACTTTGGTTGATAGGCATCTTTTTCTAAGCCATGCCCTAGCTTTCCACCTGTTCCATCTCCCCAGCTGAAGATCTCTCCTTGTTTTGTAACTAAAACTGCATGACACCTACCACATGCAATGTTTTGTGCATCTAAAACTATTGTTGATTCTAATGCTTTTGGTAATAGTGCATCCTCTGTTGTGGAGTTCAATGACTTTTCTGTTCCGCTCAGTACACCATCACTTATAGCTTCACCCCAGACAAAAACATCACCTAAAGCATCAAAGTCTTCGTGACACGAACCATGGCTAGACGTGCTTACAGCACTAGATAGACTGATCCGAACTGGATCAGTGGTCGAGAATCGTGAAATTGAGTTCTCAACGTTTACCGGAGGAAATGCACAGAAGAGGTTGGTAGTATTGGTTTCTGTCTGATTGTTACTTGCTGGTGCAGTTATGGATACAATATCAGAAAAGACTTTTCCCATCCGATTTGGTGCAGAAGTTTCAGGGGAGGGCTGGATAACTTGATCCTATAGTAAGATGATGTGAAATGTTAAGTGGTGGTTCAGATTTTTGAAGAATATGAAGAACATGTTGTTTACTTACAAGAACTGTTACGAATGGAGATACTCTTCGTGCATGAGGGGTTGGACATTCCACTGAAGTGATCTCAGGTTTAATAGTGTTTTTCCATTTGGAGACTTTTACGCGAGTAATCAATGCCTTCAAACCAACCACCCACACTTCTGCTTCATCCTTGTCTTTGCATATCTGCCCAAAATATCATCACCAATGTCATTTTTCAAAGATCGTTCAAAAGTTGATAAATGATATATATATATGCATTATTGCTCATTAAGATAGCACTAAAAAACTCACCAAATCCAAAGACCTGTCTGGACAAATGAGGGAAAATGATTGATACTCTTTCTCGGGACGTGGATATCTCTTGAATGTAGCCTGAAACACACTTTACGCGTTAAGTCTAAGAATTGAAGGGGTGGGGTAAGAACAAGTCAAAACATATAATATAGCTAGAAAAAAAAAAAAAAAAAGAGGAAGAAGCTTGATAATATGAAACTGATGCCAAGAGAACATGAGACCATCTTACAAAGTTGATATAGTTGAAATGGAATAGAAGGTAAACTATACATGAGTCTGCAGAGAAAAAACTCACCGTGCGTTGTCCAGGAACAATTCTCATGACTTGACTCACTTTAATTTGCTTCTCTTCTTTTCCAGAGTACCATACTAACGTGGACTCGTCCTAGGATAATTGACATGTAATATAAATAAGCAAACAAGAAGAATATAAGGAGGAATTATCTCTCTTGCTCATCGGTATCTTCAAAATCATTAGAAGAGAAATAAGCAAACGTGTCGTCCAAAAAAAATCTTACACTTGAGAGCTGGAATGGACAAAACTTGGGCTTCCCTCTACGTCCGTATTTTAGCAAATAAGACCCTTTCTTAAGTGACGTAATGGCCTGGCAAATTTCAGTAGAAGAAACACATCAAAAAATCATTTTAATGACTTAGGTAAAAATAAAACACGTTAGACATGTTGCTTATTCTAAGCCTAGATAAAAAGAAAACACATCATACGTAATACCTGTTCAACGTCTCTCTCAGCGAGACTAATTCTCAGGGAATCAGCCATTGAATCTGTTGCACCGGAAAAGAGCTATTTCCCTTTCGAATCATTCTGAACCAAATCGTTTAACATCACTCGAAACAAAGCTCCAATCATTCCTATCTAACCCATGGTAGTAGTAAGGTTTCGTCAAAAATTTCAAAATACCCAAAACTCTCCAATCCAAAATGTACATCAACCAAAAATCAAATCCACTTTGCATAATCTTTTTACCACCTCAAAGCATTTCAAATGGTACTTCATTCTCAAGACCAGCCTTGGACCAAGCCATTTGAAGCATGGGCCTTGGCCCCCATTTCTCTATAAAACCCCCGTTTCAAAACAAAAACAAAATTTTTTTTGTAACAAATATTTCTTAGGAGTTATTTACGTTGAGTAAAAAGAAAAAACAATAAACTGAATAATAAAAGAATTCAATTTAGTGTAAGCCAGTTAATTGTTTTTGAATCTTCTCTTTCTTTTTCCTCCCACGCCTCACGTCTCTTAAGCTCCCTGTTTTTCTTCAGTTTTGTGTTAAACTTTCGACTTTTTCTCTTTTTCATCAAGGTTTTTTGGAGAATTTGTGTTACTTGTTGGGTATTTGAAATCATTTAAACGAGGATATGTTTGATCATTTTTTTTACTATGTAAAGTGAAGGCTCCTGTTTTTTCCTTTCTTTTGTATAGTCTCCACTGTTTCAGGATCACCCCTGTCTATTCTTATCTCCAAATCCTATTTTAGGATAAAAATTATCTTCAATAGTATTCTATATCATACTCTAAAATAGAAAAAATGAACAATACAATTTTTTAATTCACAAAATGATCATTTAGTTTTCATATTATTTTTACATTTTGTACCTATAAAATGAAATAACAAACAGTATTGTATTTAATTACTATATTATTTAACAATTACTAGTAAAAAAACTATTTTTCAACTATAAAACGTGCTAACTGATTATTTGTAGAAGCTTAAAGCCTTAAACAAAAATGTATTAGTTGTTTGATTTTCAGTTTGTGGTGTATTTAATTAAAATTTTATAATAAATGTAATTTTTAAATTTTGATAACTTTGAACTATTTTATAAAAAAAATAGAAAAATTTGAAGATTTTTATAAGTAAAAGATCTTGTAAACAATTAATACTAAAATAGTAGATTATATTTGGATTATTCATTTTTAGAGTGATAAACAGAGATAACCATTGAAATAAACATCTCTATTCTTAAAGAACTCTATTTTTAGAACTATTGGATATGCTTTCAGAAACACAATTTACTCTACTTCTTCACCAGATCGGATAACACTATCCATATTCAGAAAATCTACCAATATGTTCTAATCCTAGCGAAGTATCAAAAAACCAAATGCCACCTGATTCCAATAATCGAAGACGAAGCAACCCTCGATGAGAATCTCGGGCATGTACATAGAGAAACACCAAATCGTAATAGGAAGAAGAAATGGATCTTCTTGACCAAAAGTAGACGATGATGATGTAACATCATAATCCGGAGACAGAATATATCCAGAGATTGCAGGGTTGCCATATAATCAAACCAAATTCTACTAAACGGACCGAAACTGTTATTTCATTTAGATTTCAGTTATAGTTTTACTCGAACGGAAACTGAAAATGTTCATCCCTATAAAATAGCCACCAAAACTAAATATAAAATATGGCATTCCATTAATACAAAACATGTCACTACATAAAGGAGATGATACATAAACCTGGCAGATATAAAAGCCATAGAGAAGACAAGAGTCACACAGCTAAGCTTATACAAACTGAAAGTAGCCAAACCGGTTTAAGATCAGAGACCACAGTAACATGGTAAACTTAGTACCTATAATCGTCATCAAAGATCATGTAATTATTGCTTCCTCCTCCTCTCCTTCCCCTTTCATAACTATCCTTCTGCGCATCACAAAACAACATTAAGAATGTATATGTATATATATATATTAGCATATGTGTATTTATACATTTCCCATAGTTAGTTGGTATATAAGGGAACTAATGTAATACGATACTTTACTTTTTACATTCATTGAATACAATTTTATTTTCTCTCTCTTGAAACGTTAATATGGTATCAGAGGTGAGATAAAGCTCCGCATAACAAACTTTTCTCCCTCATCCATGGCGGATTCGTCATTCATCTGAGCTTCATTTCTTCTTCTCATGTCATTCATTCATCAGATTTCATGAGTACTTCTCAGATCGATATCATTTTTCTCGTTTTCATGAACTTAGTTTCATCTTTTCTGGATTTTCTGAGTTCCGTATTCTCCAGTATCTTCGTAGTCTTTGTTTCATCTTTCGTTTGACCTAATTTGTTGCTGAATCTCTCATTCTCGGCACAAATCTTTTCTCAATCTTGTTCGATTTGCATAGAATCGTTCGATTATCTTGATACTATCTTCTCGCACATCGCGATGGTGACAAATCATTCCGAATCGGGAAATTCTTCACAGCAGCTCGACCATTACGATAATCCGTTCTATCTACACAGCTCCGATCATGCGGGACTTGTTCTAGTCTCAGATCGTCTTAGTACTGGTGCAGATTTCCATTCTTGGCGACGATCGGTGCGAATGGCGCTTAATGTGCGTAACAAGTTGGGATTTATCGATGGCACAATACCTAAGCCTGCTGAAAATCAACGAGACTCTGGATCTTGGTCACGATGCAATGACATGGTGGCAACTTGGCTAATGAACTCTGTTTCCAAGAAGATTGGACAGAGTCTACTATTCATCTCTACCGCTGAAGGTATTTGGAAGAATATCCTTTCTCGTTTCAAGCAAAATGATGCTCCTAGGGTATATGAAATTGAACAACGCCTCAGTTCTATTCAACAAGGATCGATGGATGTTAGTTCTTATTACACTGAATTGGTGACCTTATGGGAAGAATATCGCAATTATGTTGAATTGCCTGTATGCACTTGTGGGAAGTGTGAATGTAATGCAGCAAAACTTTGGGAAGAGCTGCAGGATCGTAGTCGAGTTACAAAATTCTTGATGGGGTTAAATGAAAGCTATGAATCTACAAGACGCCACATCCTTGTGTTGAAGCCAATTCCTTCCATTGAAGATGCCTTTAACATGGTTGCACAGGATGAGAGACAGAGAAATCTTAAACCATCTTCTACACCGGAGAATGTTGTTTTTCAGAGTACTGCTTCTACTATGCAGACTCAAGATACTCTATCACTTGATAATGCTGCTTTTGCACTTCAAAATACATATCGTCCCAAGTCTCGGCCTATGTGCACTCATTGTGGACAAATGGGTCATGTTATTCAGAAGTGTTTCAAGCTTCATGGCTATCCTCCTGGCTACATTCCGGGATACAAGAGTGGTCAGTCTGCTTATAATCAGACACAAAGACCTCCTGCGGCCAATGCTTATCCACCACGGGGATAATTCTCTTCTACATTTCAACCTCGAGGCCAATTCCCATCTAATACTCGACCTAACACTGTTGCCAATGTGATGACCAATACTTATCCTCCTCCGGCATTCCCTTCATATCAGTATATGCCTCCCCCGGCATCGAATGTAATGAACTTGGATCTTAGTCAGATGAATAATGATCAAGTTCAATCTCTGCTTCAACAGTTAACTGCTCATGTCAGCATCTCGGAATCATCACCATCACCATCTTCTGAAGTGTCACCAGCCACAATCACAGAACATGGTGTTATGGCAACACAGTCCACATCTGGTAACTTCCCTTTTCCATCATCTTCATTGAAATTTGAGGATAATAGACTGACTTTCAATCATCAATGCCTTTCCACACTTTATAATTCTCTCCCTCAAGGTTCTTGGATAATTGACAGTGGTGCCACTTGTCATGTATGTTCTGACTTGGAATTGTTTAGTGATATTATTGCAATCTCTGGCACAACAGTATCCTTACCTGATGGCACTAGAGTTGCGATTACTCACACGGGCGCTGTGCATCTTTCATCATGTTTAGTCATGCATAATGTTTTACATGTGCCTTCATTCAAATTCAATCTTCTCTCTGTGAGCTGTTTACTCAAAACTGGTGATTTATCTGCTCATTTCTATATTGATTCTTGCTTTATTCAGGAGTTTACTCGGGGCTTGATGATTGGTAGAGGAATTCTCATTCACAATCTCTACATTTTGCAGCTTGAACCATCTATTGCTTCACATTTCACTGGATCCTTGGTAGTCGATGGAAATCTTTGGCATCAACGCCTCGGACATCCGTCTACTGGCAAGTTACTTGAGCTCTCGAGTCTTTTACATGTGTCTAAGTCTAGCCTATCTTCTGAGTCTCATTGTCCTGTATGTCCCTTAGCAAAACAAAAACGTCTTCCTTTTGAGTCACATAACCATCTATCTAGTTCACCATTTGACTTGCTTCATCTTGATGTTTGGGGTCCGTTTTCAATAGAGTCTATAGAAGGTTATAAATACTTTTTAACCATTGTAGATGATTCAACTCGTGTCACATGGGTATACTTAATGAAATATAAAAGTGATGTTTCACGACTCTTCTCTTCTTTTGTTACACATGTGCACACTCAATATAAGAAAACCATCAAAGCGATTAGAACAGATAATGCACCTGAGTTAGCTTTTACAGAACTTGTTCGTCAACATGGCATGATTCATCAATTTTCCTGTGCTTATACTCCTCAACAGAATTCTGTTGTTGAGAGAAAGCATCAACATCTTTTAAATGTTGCACGATCATTACTGTTTCAATCTCATGTTCCTCTGATATATTGGAGTGATTGCATATTAACTGCTGTGTTCTTGATCAATCGATTACCATCTGTTGTTCTTAAAAACAAATCCCCATATGAATTGATAAAGCATAAGGCGCCTGATTATTCATTCTTAAGATCTTTTGGTTGCCTGTGTTATGTGTCCACATTACAAAAAGATAGACATAAGTTCAGTCCACGTGCAGATCGTTGTGTCTTTCTAGGATACTCCTCGGGGTACAAAGGTTATAAGGTTTTGCATCTTGAATCCAATCTTGTCTCGGTTTCTCGCAATGTTGTTTTTCATGAATCCATTTTTCCATTTGCTGATCAATCTTTGCATCATCCATCTCCTGATATCTTTCGTGAGTCTATATTGCCATTACCAACACCTGTTGTGATAGATGAATTCATTTCTTTGCCTAATCATTCCTCTACATCATCGATTGTACCCATCACTACTTCTCCATCTCGTACATCACTTGCATCACCATCGCACTCTAGTGATCCACAGGACACAACTAACCCTGTTGTTACAGAGAATGCTCCAATATCACTTCTCAATGCCCGGCCAAAACGTTCGACAAAGGTACCAAGTTATTTGTCCAATTATCATTGCTCTTTAACACAAATTTCTACTCCTTCCTCTTCTACAAAGGTTTATACAACTCCATATCCCATCTCTTCATTCCTCTCATACTCTTCTCTTAACACCTCGTATCAGTCTGTTGTCCTTTCATTTTCAATGGAGACAGAGCCTAAAACATTTAAGCAGGCCATGGCTTCTAAAGAGTGGACTGATGCGTGTAATTTGGAGCTGGGAGCTATGGAATCCACACATACATGGAGTGTTGTCTCGTTACCACCAGAAAAGAATGTAGTTGGTTGTAAATGGGTATTTACAATCAAATACAAGGCGGATGGTAGTGTGGAACGATACAAAGCTCGCTTGGTAGCGAAGGGATTTACTCAACAGGAAGGTGTCGATTACTTTGATACCTTTTCTCCTGTTGCCAAGCTTGCGAGTGTGAAGCTAATTCTTGGTTTAGCTGCACGAATGGGTTGGAGCTTAACCCAGCTGGATGTAACAAATGCCTTCCTACATAGTACGCTCGATGAAGAAATATACATGAGCCTACCACAGGGTTACACTCCAGCCGATGGTCGTTTGCCTCCTAATCCGGTGTGCAAACTTCATAAATCCATCTATGGACTGAAGCAAGCATCACGACAATGGTATAAATGCCTGTCCAAGGTATTACTTGATGATGGTTTCATCCAGTCTTATGCAGACTATTCCCTCTTTGTGAAGCAAACAGGTTCTTCTTCATTCATCGCCATGCTTATATATGTCGATGACATACTTATTGCGAGTAATGATGATAAAGCTGTCATGTCTGTGAAGAACCTCCTTTCTGCAGCATTCAAGACCAAAGACCTTGGCCAAGCTTGTTTTTTCTTGGGTCTTGAAATTGCTAGGAATGCTTCGGGAATCTCTGTTTCACAGAGGAAATATTGCTTGGATCTCATTGAGGACTATGGACTTCTCGGTTGTAAACCTAAATCTGTTCCAATGGATCCTAAGCTTCCTCTCAGCAAGTCAACGGGTACTTCTCTTTCCAATGCTACCACTTATCGCGAACTGATCGGTCGGTTGCAGTATCTTTGCATTACTAGACCCGACATTACCTTTGCGGTACATAGATTGAGTCAGTACCTGTCTTGCCCGACTGATACCCATTTCCAAGCTGCTCTTCATATTCTTAAGTATCTGAAGAATAACCCTGGTCAAGGATTGTTTTATTCAGCTACTACGGAGTTGTGCTTGAATGGTTTTTCAGACGCAGATTGGGTTACATGCCCTGATACAAGACGCTCTGTCACAGGCCTATGTGTGTTCCTCGGTAATTCTCTTATCACTTGGAAATCCAAGAAACAAGAAACAGTGAGCAGGAGCAGCACGGAGGCAGAATATCGAAGCATGGCTGTTGCTACTGGAGAGTTACTTTGGCTGAATCAACTCTTATCTGATTTGCATATACCAGTAACGACTCAGGCCAAGCTTTTTTGTGACAACAAATCAGCTATGAACATTGCGAACAACCCTGTTTTCCACGAGAGAACTAAGCATGTAGAAGTGGATTGCCACACGACTCGAGATCAAGTGAAGAATGGATTCCTCAAGGTCCACCATGTCTCTACTTCGAATCAGCTTGCTGATATTCTCACAAAACCTTTGCATCCGGGTCCGTTTCATTCACTGCTTGGTCGTATGTCTTTGTCAAGCCTCTTCCTTCCTAAGGATGCTTCGGCTTGAGAGGGGTGTATTAGCATATGTGTATTTATACATTTCCCATAGTTAGTTGGTATATAAGGGAACTAATGTAATACGATACTTTACTTTTTACATTCATTGAATACAATTTTATTTTCTCTCTCTTGAAACGTTAATAATATACGTATGTATGTGAAGTTGAAAATTTACCCTAACGATCATTCGCTCAAAAGCTTCGGTGCCATGCTGCTCCATGTACTTCTCAGCAGCAGTGAGGATGTCGTCTTCGTCACGTTTGGGGAAGAAATTGAATTTCTTTTGAGGAACATACCAAATATTGGTGGAAGCTCTTTGAGGATTCATGTAGAAAGGCCTGATGAAATGTCTGTACACATGTTCTGCTCCATTAAACTGTGGTAGAACTAGCCAGCATATCCCGATCAGCTTCAGGAATGGCCATATCGGAAACCTTTTTTTCTCATAAGAAAATTTGATTATATTATATGACCAGAGAGTTTGTAGCATAATAGTTTTTTTCTACAAGCATAAAAATAGTAGAGAACTAACCACTCAAGAAGTTTGGAGAAAATGAGTTCGAAGAGGGAGATAAGTGCGTAGAGAACCCAATAGGTGAGCCATTGCTCGTCTTGTGCTAATGATTTTGTCTCTATTGCTTTCACTGATGCATATCTGTTCAATTTTTTTGTCACATTCTAATAATCTTTTCTTTGTAATAAAAAAGTTGAATATTACAAAGAAAATGATGCCTCGTGTCTTGGATTCTAAGTGGGTGTGTGTGGATATACGTGCATCTAAGAAAAAAGTTTCATTTTAAAAAAATTTATTAACAGGGAATCAAATTTTCAAAGGTTTGGTTTTTGCTTCATTTTCCCCAAAAGTTTCCAATATTTATATAAATCTCAACGAAATATTAGCTCTAAATTTGAGTTTTGCTATCAATCTAATCTTTTGTTTTAAGTCCTATGGACATCACACAAAGTGAGTGAGAATGAGAGTGAGAGAGAGAGAGAGAGGTTTCACTTACAGAGGGTAGACGAGAGCAACCAATGGGCTGCAGAAGCAAAAACAAAGCAAGTTTCAACTTTCAAATAACAATAAATCACAAAAATTCCATAAATCAGTGAAAATCTAAAAGAGGGTTTATCTTTCTCTTTCAAATTCGGAATCAAGTAAGACCATAAACAATGTAGTAGTTTAACTCAGTAGAAAGAAAACTAAGTAAACAAGATAGGATCTAATTAACAAACAAACAAACAAAAAAAGATAGGATCTGTAAATAGAAATTAAAGAGAGAGAGATATACAGAGCAAGGACATCGAAGTTCTTGATGAGAACTTGAAGAACATTATCATCTCCAGAATTAGAAGGCATTATTGACTCTTCAGCTTCTTCCCTGAAGCCTTCCTGTTTCTAAAGCTTTCCACTTTTATTTTCCTCTCTTTCTTTCTCTCAGTGTAGAAGAACAGAAGTGGAGGCCAGGTTTTACCTTGGACTTTTATGACCACTCCTTTCATTTTTTTTTTTTCTTTTTTTTTACCTTTCAAAAAAACAAAATGGAAAAGAAAAAGAAAAATGGTATTTCCAACGAGCAAATAAGCACCGAAATTTTGCCAATTATTTATGGATAAATATTTTTTCTTAAACATATTCTTAAGAATATTACTTGAGCGATATTTTAGCTTTGCAGCTACGAGATTATCTTCGACTTTCTACTCGGTGAATTTATTACAAAATTAGATTACAGTATATTATATTTGGACATAAATATTTGATACTGTCCGGTTCACTAATTTTGAGTGATTTATCAAATATATAAAACACAGTTAAATGAGGAATGTGTATGTTGTAATCGTAGATTGAAATTATTATGCTTCCAAATGTCCAGTAAGGTCTGAACATTAATGAGCCTTACAAAGCCCATTCATTCTATATAAGTCCATATCATCCAATGGGATGGTGGAATATAATCATTTTCTCAAACTGGACCTGAGCAAAGATAAGGTTCATCTAATTATTCATACATGAATAAGATTGAAAACAAAATGAATTTTTATTCGAAATATATGTATCAGAATTAATAACAGTATCTAATATTTATCCCTTACTAAATTTTTATTATTATTGGTTCTAGACAAATGATAAAATGATTATAGTGAAGACGAATAATGAGTGTATCACTGAAGCCTGATTAAACAAAATAGGGAAGCAAGTGATGGAATGATGATCATCTAATCTTTGCCAGATCAAAAACAAAGAACCCTCATGAATACACTCTTCTATACGATAGCATATTATATATAACTACGTAGATCAAAAGACTATATTTTAAGTATACTTTAGAGACATTTCTAATTATTTTGGACCAATTGGGTAATGCCAGATTACAACTACTTGTGCCCTTTCCTTTTTTGTAATTTCTTTTAATTATAATAAATCGCCGACAAAAAAAAACAATGATCCGTCATGACTCGTATCTTACTGTTTATCTATAAAGTAATTCGTAAACAATTATATACAAATATCAAAGAAGATTCATGAGATCATCGGTTTCTATATTTTGCTTTTCTTTTACTACCGCGAAATCTAGTCTCGCCTATTGCTTTGCCATGTTATTGTGATCAAACAAAAATAACATTCCTCTAAAAATGCTGCGTGATAACGAGATTTAATATTTGATTAATTACCTTAAACTAACGGATTAATTAATTAAAATAACATATGGATGAGGTTATATAACCGACACCGACAGGCCTAGGATTTCAAGGATTCGCAGTTCGCACCGATCTATATAGAATTTTGAAATATATTATTTTCGTACTAAAAAATTTATATTGTTTTATATAGAACATAATATGTTTCTATTAGCATAAATCATTGTATGTATATGAGTATGAGCAAAATTGCTAACGTCCAAATTCCCATGCTCGTTGATATCTCTATTAATTTATATACAACGTTGGTCTACACGGTCGTTTCTCTATACATACCCATGCATGGTAAAACACACATATATAATATATATATATATGTACATTAACAAAACAAATCTAATAATTAGACCGACACAAGATGAAGCGATATGGTTACTACGCATGTTACATAAGATATATACTTATGTATTTTGTTGTATAATGCAAATTTCCTTGTTAATTTCGACCAAAAAAAAAATTTCCTTGTTAATTTTACATCATCATGGTATCCTGTCTCCGTGATGGATTATGGATATATAATCATTTTTCACCCATCAAGGACAAACCTTAAGAAATAGAAGATCAAGTAGAATCTATAACCATCTAGTATAATTTTCTTATTATATATGCATGCTAGATAGACATATATCTCAAATCTATAAATTTCGTTCTAGACATTGTTGTCAATCTGTTTTTAAATATATTTTTAGAAGAGAATGACATGACCTTGGTGATTTTCTCTCGGGTGTCCCATAATTTACAAACTTTGAACATTTCCATATAGCAAGAATTAGCGATGATAATAAGTTTCATGGATCCACAGATTGTATAGTCTCCAAACGTAGCATCAGAGTGTTTTTTTTGGGGGGGATAAAAACAGACTTAAGTTCCGACTTCCGACCATATGATCTAGCTATAAATATTTTTGATAATACTAGATTTATATCACGTTTCTCCGATCCGGAATAAAATAGGACCATTCAAAACAATAAATGCCATAAAAATGTTGCTTGCAAATGCTATAATAAATTAAACGTATTCGAAACTTTTCGCATAGATAGCTACTGGCATTAATATGGCATCAACACGCTTGTATTAACCAAAACAGCCACATTTTAATGCTTTGAACCATACGATTTAATTCTTTACTATATATATTTTAAAGATCTTAACTAGTGTATATTTACTATATATGAAACATTGACCGATAGACAAGTCAAGTCGACTGACCATGCACGGGAAAAATAGTAGATTATATAAAGATAGAACAGGGATAAGCTCATGATGCATATGTATGTACCTCTTTGAGACAATGTGGTCGAAGAAATGAAACCATGAACGAAGAAAATGGAAGATACTAACTTGGCATGAGAAATGTATTATTGATTATACATATCAAATAATATTGTTCAAAAACCCTAATCAAGTAGTGTGTCTCATTATAAAACTCTCACACTCAAAGGTATATAGAGAAAACATTTCACAAGACAGATACTACTTAGAAGAAAACAAAACCAAAGCTTAGTTGCAAAAACCACATACTAAGATATATCGAATAATCACTTTCTTACTTACTTAATACATTAATCAAAAGAAGAATTGAAACCGGATCAGAACTCGTGAAATATTAGAATTTAGAAAGAAAGAAAAAATATATGAAAGATGCAAAAAAATAAAAACAAAACACGCTTGTTTAAAAAAACAATCAAACAAACGAAAGGACCAAAAAAGAAAAAAAAAAAGAAATAAATCTCACAGATATATTGTTTGTGTGTGTTTTTTGCCTAGGAATGATGACTCGTGCTTCCATCTTCTTGATGGTTGTGATGATGATCCCCGTCACGGTTTTGCTGGTTATTCCCCGTCTCCTGAACCGGCCGGTACGCAGCATTTAACGCCGCTAAAACTCCATAATGGTTATGTTCTCCTCCTCCTCCTCCTCCTCCGTAACCAGACGCCAAAGGCTGTCCGGAAAACAAAGCAATCGGAGCTGCAAAATTCATCAGATGTACTCCTGCTCCTGCTCCTCCTCCTCCTCCTACTCCGCCGCCACCACCACCACCACCGCCGCTCGGGTTGTAAACATCACCGGAATGATGAGGGTTTATATTAAAAGCCCAAAGATTCTGCGTATTACTATCACCACCACTGCTCCAAAACGGCGCCGTAGCAGGAGTCTGGCTTGTAGGCAAAGATCCAGCCGTTGATTGTACAAGATAGTTCCCCATTTGGTTGTGATCTAAAAGCTGAGAAGAAGGAGAAGAATGCGACTCGTTCTTGGGACGAACTTGATGTTGCTGCTGCTGCTGATGATGATGATGATGATGAGACATGGAAGGTGAATGAAAGTAATAGCTGCTCGGAGTTGTACGAAGATGAGCAGCAGAGAGAGAAGATCTTGAGCTACGAAGTGAGATATTAAGAGAAGTGAAGTTAGCCGGAATGGTTCCAGTCCCTGTAGCGGCTATAACCGCCGGTTCAGCTTGCTGGAGAAGCCACTCGATGGTTTCGCCGTCGGATTTGTGACCGAGCTCACGTGTGAGCTGAAAGACACGTGCGGCGCACATGGCAGGCATACGGATCCTACGGCCTCGGCCTTCGACTTTGGTGTGTCGGTCTTTTGTTGAGGTTCGCTTCGGAGGTGGTTTCTTGGAGAGAGCGTTAGGGTCGGAGTTAGGTTCGGAAGAGGAAGCTGTTGGGATGATGGCTAAGGAAGTGGAAGAGGAGGAAGAAGAATCAAGAAGCTGGAGAGGGAAGTTGGGTCTGTGATGATCTGGATCCGGATCCATTGATGATGATGATGATGATGATCGAAGATGGTTGTGGTGGGGAAGTGGGACTACTGTCTCTGTTAGATCTTTATGTGAGCCATAGTTTCTCTCTCTAGACTCTGTTTTTTTGTTGCTTCTTTAGAGAGAGAGAGAGAGGTTATGGTCCTTAAGGACATGAAACTCCTTTCAGATGGGAAGCTTAGCTGTGTGTCTGTGTCTGAGTGAGAGAGAGAGAGAAGGTTAAAGCAATGAATATGAAAGCATGGACTTTTTTTTTCCTCTCTTTGCTTTATATCTTTTGTGTTTTATTTTTGGAATTTTATTTACATTATAAACTATTCCCTTTGAGAATTTTTCGTTATTTTGGGAAATGAAAGATGGGGATACGTGGTTTTCAATCTGTACAATTTTTCAAATAAGAAATGTTTTTTTTAAACGTATACAGTGATCAAAATGATCGAAATATAAAAGGGAATTCGTATTTATTGCGTTTGATACATAAGTTTTATAAATAATACAACCCTATTTGAACACTCTTTTTTCATTCTTTTAAAATAATTAAAAGGTGACGTCAGTTTTCGTCGTTACTATTAACTTGATCAATCGATCGCAGAATTAATTGCACAGTTAGCGAAAATTTCAGCGATTCAGAACTAGAACTCAGAAGTTACATATACGATCTTTTGTACGTACTCAGAAGTTACATATACAACAGAATAATAAATAGATGGAATTATTATTGACAGTGATTAATCCATGGCTCTATGGTAGATCACGAGATCCACATGATAGAATCCAACTGCTTTTTTTTATGAAAGAGATATAGATATTATACTTTTTTAGTCTGTGTCTACTAAACCATATAGTTATACCCCCAAAATATAAAAACCAAATATAATACTGTGTTGTATATATATATACATATATATAAAGCAAATTTGAATTGCTTCTGCTTTGTTTCCACCATTGGTGTTATCTCATTGACATACAATTGTCGTTAAAAGATGTAGCACTAAATTTAGAAAATAATTTTGACAGTCTGATGTGGACAAACCATTATATTATTTTACTGAAATTTTATATTTAGTGATGAAGAAACTTCCTTTCTTATGTGATGACTATTCAACATATCAACCATTCAAACACTGGTCATTTGCTTACATGTAATTTTTATGGGAGTTGTTCTAGAGAATTTTCCTTTAAATTAAATTTCAAAATTAGATTACATAAGTTGTATGGTCTAAATTAGTACATTTTTTTTTAAAGCTACCTCTTTCTCTCGTTTTCTTGTTAAGTGTTCGACTGTACTTTACTATATGTGTTTTCCAATTAGTTTTATGTTTTACGACCAAAGTTGTCTTTAACAAAAAAAAAAAACATTAGGACCAAAGTAGTGGGTTTTTAATTGACTCAAAAATTATTAAGAAAAAAAAATCATTTAAAAAACCATCACAGTAGTGCTCCGATCCAAAGCTACGACAATGTTTTTTTTTTACCATTGCCAGAATTTTTGTCCCTAAAAAGATATGTTTTCATTTCCTGTTGAACTGGTTACGATATCTAAGCAAATTAGACGGGTTTTGATATCCATGATTCAATCAACGAATACATTAATAGTATTCTTGTTCTTGTGAAAACGTTTCTTTATAAAATTGAAATTATTGAATTATACTTTTAAATAAAAAAATTTAGATCTTAATTATAAACGTCTCGGCTAGTATTAAAATAGTTATAAGAAAAGAAGAATTAAAGACACGAAAAGAAAACGAAAAAACGAATAGATGGTAGAAAGGCGTTGAAGATATTTGACACGGCAGTGGCAGATAATAGCAATTACAATTCAGAAAGAATGATCACAGGATTTTATGAATAATAAAGTCAGCCAACTAATTAACCACTCATTAATTCTTTCAGTCATTTTCTCCACTGACATAACTATATATATATATATACACACACTTTTATCCGCATTTTTCATCTTCAAAATACAATCCCCATTTATATATACTTCGATCCCCACATTCCTGGTTAGCCCATAATCAACTCTAAACTATCTAAAAGTCGGTTCTAAGTTAATATTTGACTATTTTCAATTCCTCAAACGGTATAAGATCGGTTTGACACTCATATTGACATGTTAATTAAAATAGTAGTTTAAAAAAAATCATATAAAATAACCATTTAACCTATTAATATTGTTTAGGTTGGAGATACTTAAAATATAAATTACAAATTAAAATGTGGTGATATAAATGTTAGGATGACAACAATAGTTTGATAGTCTCGTGGGACATTTTCTGGATGATCAAGGTCGCAGTCTTATTACAAATCAATCTATCTGTCTAATATACTTTTAAGGTTGTAAAATACAATTGTTTTTTATAAGATAAAATAAATTAAAATAATAAAAATAAGAAGAGGAAGAAGAAATGAAAGTAAATTAATACGAAGAAATAAGAGAGATAGACAGTGGGTTGAAACAGACTCCACGTGCGTGTCCTCTGCATCATTCACTCTCTAAAGACAGCGACCATAGCCTCATCCCTCCATTATGGGCCCCACATCTAGTCAAGTCAAATTATTAATCTTTCTCCATTTTCATTTATTTCTCCTTTTCATCTTTTTGATTGAATCTATTTACCATCAATCACGAACCCTATTTCAAACATTACTGCGCGTAAACAAAAATCATCTCAAGAATTGCTCGCGTTATTTTTTTACAGAAAAATTCACAAGATTCTCTATTATCGTAAGAACATAATGTTTTTTTATATTTATTATCCAACAACTTAATTCGTACTTTTTTTTTTGATCAGGTCACGTCACTTCTCCTAAACAAAACTCAAATTTAAGAAAGCATTAGATTATAACCCCGTGCATCCATACGAGAATATTTTTTTATTGTTTAACGAATTTTGTAATATAATTTATATTTTTGAGTTTAGATATAATTATTTTTATAAATATATTTTTTAAGAAGTGAAAATATTGATTTTGTGTTTAGATATATTTTTATAGTATTAAAATTAATTATGATTATAAAATATAATTTAAACCCGTCCGCTAATATTAATTCAAAATGAATTATTATAAAAACATAATTCTAAATTTTCTGTTCATATTACCGTATAATATAAATATTTGTTAAAAATTTGAGATGTATTAACAGTATTATTTAGCATTATAGTTTTCTAAAATTTAATCAACGAAGGGAGTGTACAACTGGTTTTTCAAACCATATTTTAGTGTATGCAATAATTTTTAGTTTTTTTATGTTTTTATTTTATATGAAAAATATATTTTCGATATACATGTATAATTCAAAATTAGTTATTTTAGTTACTAAAATATTTTTAACCCGGTTTTTATATATATTTTTAGTTCTATAAATTTTAAAAAAATATATTTTTAATATTTAAATTATACATTTGAATTTTATCTATTATTTTATTATTAATTTGTAAATAAATCATAATCGTAAATATATTATATAAGCAACATAAATATCATATATTTTACATCATTATAAATATTTTATATTTCAAATATGACTATTATTTTTCATATGTGAATTATTTTTTTTTCAAAAATTTTGATAAAAATGTTTAATAGTATAAAAATTATTTAAATTAAAATCTTTAAATCAAATCTAAATTAATATCTGATTTTTATTTTTAATCAAATCAAATCAAATCTAAATTACCTATATTTAAGGAAATCTAAAAATATTTAAATTAATAACTAATTTTCGAAATTAAATATAAATAATTATTAAAATTATTTTTAAACACTTAAAAAAAATTAGAAATGTTTGGAAGTAAGTACTAAATGTGCTTCTGTTTTAATATAATAGAAATATCATTACTTAATTTAAAATTTTAGGGTTTTATATAATATTGCCTTTTTGTTAGTTTCTCAAAATAATATATGGTGAAAATTTGAGAAAAAAAACTTATGGTGAAAATTTAACGTAAAATCATTATAAAATAGAAATGTAGTATATAAAACAAAATTGATAAATTAATAAAAAAATAATGTTTCTCGTGATTTGTGAAAATGTATATGATTCTCGCTTAACAAAATAGACTAGTTTCACTTCGCATTATTTTCCAACTCGCATGGGTTACAATTAGAGTATAGTATGCAAAATATGCAAAATGGAGAGAGAAATTGGAAATATAAGTTCGATTTGTGTATTAAAAATTTTCAAATAATTTAAAAGGAAAAAGTGGGCTCCCATCCACATTCACCAGCAATGATTGCCTCACTGCCTTTGCAGCTCCACTTCTACCTCTTTCCTCTTTCCTTTTCTTTATTTTATTTCCTCCACCTCACTTTATATTTTGTTTATATTTGTCCCGGATTTTGATTTCCTTTACATTTTGCCCCGTATCCCCTCCATATTACATTATATGGTATAAAATCAAATGCTCGTCTACCCATACTCTCTTATTGTCTACTCTTCATTTAAAATAAAAATGTATGCATTATTTTAGTATATCTATAAATAATTTAGAGTATGTATAGATAGCCTATTTTTGAGCTTATTTACAAAAAAAAAGAATTCAACATCTATATAAATTGATATTGATTGTGTATTACTGATATAGAAACATGAAATTCGAATGTATTTTTAATGACAAAAATGGTATTACATATGATTACACGCTGTTTTTGCACGAATTTATGTTATTTGATGATTTGCTCAAAAATCAGTTAGTTGATCGAAAATACAAACTATGGTGATTTTAGCGATGGCTTAAAGAAAAATTGTCCATCAGAATGGGCAAAGTTGGTCATTTTTCTACTCTATTAAGTATTAATAAATAACGAAAGCTTATTTCCTAAAGGATGTTAAAAGCAGCCTAAACCCCGGATCATATAAAATTTGTCAATTTTCTACTGCTTTAATAAATAAATAGAATAAATATTCCAATAATATAACACTTATCATCAATTTAATAATTTCCGCACGAATTATAGTGTTTAATAAGCTATATGTTTGTTATTATTTTCGTATTTCGCGTAAATTTTCAACCCTCCCGTATCTAGTTTTAGTGTTTGTTTTATTTTTTTCATAAAATATACTTAATTATCTCCTAACCAAATGATAGCCATATATATATATATGTATATGTTCGTTATGAGTCTAGCCTCGTCGTACAGACAGTTTAACATGAACATCATTATAAATACACGTTTTACATTACAAGAACCAACTACAATATTTA